TCTTTATAGAAAGAGCTGTGAGGAGAAAGGGTCCCCGTATCTTAGAAAAAATACGGTATTGAGATTTCTTGACCCTGTTTTTCCAATTTCCTTGTACACTGAGCCTGTGGAAAAAATGAGAGGGCAGAGTGGAATTGGGGATTTTGAGGAAAGAGAGGTGGCTTACAGCAACCCTGTGGGAAATGGGTAAAGAAGTCTAAGTTGCAGGTTTCAGTGCCGCTAATGCTCCTGGGTTTTAAACGGATCCCACTCCCCTGGGCAGACCTGCTGTCCTTTATGTCCCACACAAGTGCTGGTGACTTGCCTTCAAGGGGGTGCTGTGCAAACAAAGACAGCTCCCTTTATTGAACTTTAAATGTTACCCCATATTATTTTTAATGTTCAGAAATGGGAAACATGACTTGATTAGAGAATTTTAGCTGTGTGTGAATTCCTCCCATCCTTTACACACTTGCAGGTATAACAGGAGCACTCTAGATCCCTCTGGCTCTGGTCCACTCATTTCCCCTGTGACTTTGAACAAATTCCTTTCGTTATCTGCTAGATGGAGCCGTTAATTGTTCAAAGGGTGGTTCTGAGGATGAAACAAGGTATTGTATGTAGAGTTCCTAGCATACAGTTAATGTTCTGTCTTTGTATATTTAGTTTAATTTTTTTCTAAGCAAAACTTTGGTAATATCAACATATTAGAATCCCAAATATGCCTTTGTTCTTTTTAAAGATTAAAAAGATTTTTTTGGGTAGGGTCAACTATTAAATATAATCAGAACTTGAACAATCAAACAAGGATTATGTCTAGTTTGTAGAGACAATGTAAATATGGAAACTTGTTTCATAATTGGACTCACAAAGGAAATTTAGTGCGTTGTTTTTTTGTATGTATGTTTTTTAGTTGAAAGATTAAGATTTGAAACCAAATAATGTGTGTTCATGATTCCGATATGATTTAGAAACATGTTTTTTATTTTCTCCGTATATCCCAGTCTTCCTCTGGGATGTTTTTGCTACTTTAAATTCTGTTTTGTGGAACATAAGCAAGTGTTTAAGAAATTTTCAAGCATATTTTAATACACACACGTGTGTGCGGCACGAGCCCTGTTGCGGGCTCCACCCCTGGGGGCTTGTGCAGGAGGCAGCGATCCATGTTTTGCTCTCACATCCATGTTTATCTTTTCCTCTCCCTCTCTCTCTAAAAATCAATAAACTATTGTTTAAAAAACCACCACCAAGTAACCTTAAAAAAGAAACAAACTCCAAACACATTCGCAATCTTAGAAGGAAACCCTTATGCACAAAAACTGCAGAGGAGCAGGGTTTCCCTCTGGTATGTTCCCCCCAGTTAGCAAAAGGAACCGGCCCCTTATTACCCCCGCTCACTGACAAAGATGCAGCCCTTCTGGCAGGACCCGAGACCGTCCTGACGCTTGGGCACTGGGGGCGGATGCCCACCGCAGAGGTGCTGCCGTGGTCTCCCTGGGCACTCTGGTGTCTGCTTCCCCTGCCCTGTGTAGACTGAGGAACAGTCATTATTTTCACAGGTGGTTTTTCAGCTGTTTACTGGGGATAACGTAGGAACAGACACGTCTGTTGTTTTGTAATATTTTCGGAGAAGGAAGGATCTGAAAACAGGTAAAAGGAAGACTTGAGTGGCAGGTTTGACTTGTTCTGCTGTAATTTTATCAAAGGGCACTTGACAACCTGGATCCTTCTTTACGAAACAGCAGCAGGTCAAGTTTCCCAGCACCGATATCATGGCGCCTTTCGGGCCCTCACGTTGGGGTCGCCGTTCTCACTGTAACTAGCAGACGTGGGAAAGGGGTCCTCTCTGTGGAAAACCCTGCTTAGTGAGCAGAGACTCAGCGCCGCAAACTGACTCAGATGCCATACGAGGCTGTAGACTTGGGACCACTTACAGTAATTATAGTAACATTCCAAATGGGCAATCGAAAAAACAGTCACAAATACAGACTCTGAAAAAGCAAGTATGTGTAGAGATTCAGGAGCAGTATCATTAGAGCGCGTGTGGAACACCCTGCCAGCTCTGAGCAGCACCTCCTCACAGCATCTCTCAAAAGGTGGTTAATTCTCCCACAGGTGTGTGGTGCACGGGGCGAGGGGTTACTGGGCGCACAGCAGCCCCACAGGCGTGTGGTGCACGGGGCGAGGGGTTACTGGGCGCACAGCAGCCCCACAGGCGTGTGGTGCACGGGGCGAGGGGTTACTGGGCGCACAGCAGCCCCACAGGCGTGTGGTGCACGGGGCGAGGGGTTACTGGGCGCACAGCAGCCCCACAGGCGTGTGGTGCACGGGGCGAGGGGTTACTGGGCGCACAGCAGCCCCACAGGCGTGTGGTGCACGGGGCGAGGGGTTACTGGGCGCACAGCAGCCCCACAGGCGTGTGGTGCACGGGGCGAGGGGTTACTGGGCGCACAGCAGCCCCACAGGCGTGTGGTGCACGGGGCGAGGGGTTACTGGGCGCACAGCAGCCCCACAGGCGTGTGGTGCACGGGGCGAGGGGTTACTGGGCGCACAGCAGCCCCACAGGCGTGTGGTGCACGGGGCGAGGGGTTACTGGGCGCACAGCAGCCCCACAGGCGTGTGGTGCACGGGGCGAGGGGTTACTGGGCGCACAGCAGCCCCACAGGCGTGTGGTGCACGGGGCGAGGGGTTACTGGGCGCACAGCAGCCCCACAGGCGTGTGGTGCACGGGGCGAGGGGTTACTGGGCACACGGAGCAGCTGAGCAGCATCACAGTGGTGGCGGGACACGTGCGGAATAGAGCACCTGTGTGAGGGGCCGGGTGCGGTGATTGTGGACAGGTTTCTGCCTGGGGAGGCGTGTGGCACGGTGCAGCTGACAGAAAGGGCTGGCAGAGCGAGTGGTGAGGAGAGGAGTGCAGGCCTGTGTAGAGGGGCTGTGATTTGAACCAGGTCTTGAAGGTCGGGCTGAGGAAGTGGAACCACCTGACCAACACTTGGGAGTCCCGACAGGGTCACTGGAGTACGGCTCCTGTGCTCTCGAGCGATTCAGTGCAGCTGGGAGCAGGTGTCGCAGCCACCGCACCACCAGGAAGGCCGGGCGGGTGTAGATGTCCAGGGACTGGCCTGCAGGGAGTCCTTGGCTCTGCTGTTTGCTCTGAAATTAGACACGGAGGAACAGTCCACAGTGGAGGGGTTCCGGCTGACCCCAAATAGGTGTTCCATGTCTGCCTTGGTCCTTTCTGTCCCCCCTGGTGACTGGTTGGATTCAGAGAATGGGCAGAAGGGGAGACGACCTCACAGTAAATTGCTACCTGGGACCACAGCTCAACACCTGCCTTGAGGCTGACACACCTGGCACACTCCTGATCTGACTCAGTGTGGAGCTGCCTCCTTATGCCGTGGAAACGTGGCAGAAGACAGCTGCAGGGTATCCAGTACTTAGTGTCACACCCTGTCTGGCTGTGCTAGCAAGCCTCCCACTCTCCCTGCTCCAAGCTCAAGTGTCCCTTGTTGGGGAATGTGAGGTCCTCATAGCTCTCCAGTTCCACTCATGCCAAAACAGGCCTCTGTGGCTGCAGACCCTCTTGATCAAAGCAGCCTTGGCCGGCTGTCTCTTCCCAGATCTGCCCTCTCGAGCATTGTCTTTGCCTTAAAACCTCTTTATTTCTGCGAGGCTGCCATCCCTTGGTCTTGTCCCTGTATGGGTTCCAGCTAACTTACTTTAGAAAAGTGTATTTCAGTTCACTCTAGCCCACCCTCGTGGGTCACACAAATCAAAGGTTTCCTGTCCTGTGGGGACAGAGGAGCAGATGGGACCTGCTGTGGCCTCTCCCAGGATCCACGTGGCTGTGACAGATGTGATGATGGGGGCCTCTCTGACCAGGAACTGGCTGCTGCTGGGCTCCATGATTTATTCTCAGGGGCCCAGTGTGAGAGGTGGGCTTGGTTCTCAAAGAACCGTCCTCTTGGGACCCCTCTCCCCCATGGTAATGTTCCCTGACCAGCTCCTCTCAGCCATAGTGGGCGGGGCCTTGCCCTGCAGTGGCTGGGCCCCCACGCTGCCAGGAGAGGGGCAGGATGGCCACCAGCACAGAGCTGCGGTCCTTGTGTGGCTGAACCAGACAGGTGCTCTCAACCACATTGGTGTGGCCTGCCTGCCTTTTTCTGAGGGATGAGGGAGGGCACAGCGACTCGGGGGCTCCTCCACGAACAGTGTCAGCCTCCCTGGCAAGGGTTACCTGTTAACAGCAAAGGGAACGCCTTTCCACCCTTTCTAAGCCTTTCTTTCTGTCTCTGCAAACACTTGTCTTCAGTATACAGGCCCGACTCACGGGGAGCCTAGTTCAGTACTTGGAGAGCGTGGGAAACAGAGAGGACTGTGGCTAGTGGGCAAGCAGGAGCACGGGCTGAAGGCGGGATTTTTTTAAATTAATTTTTTTAATCTTCACCCGAGGATGTTTTTCCCATTGCTTTTCAGAACGTGGAAGGGGAGGGGCGGGGAGAGAAACATCGATGTGAGAGAGCCATTAGATTGGTTGCATCCCGCACATGCCCCGACTGGGGCAGGGGGATCAAGCCTACAACTGAGGCACATGCCCTTGGCCGGAATTGAACCTGGGACCCTTCAGTCCATGGGCTGACGTTCTGACCACTGAGTCAAACCGGCCAGGGCGGAAAGGTGGGACTTTGAAGGCTTTGTGTCCAGGTCTCTGAGACCCACTGAAAAGTGATTCCTTTAGAGAGGGCTCCACCTGAGATACTGGTTGGGATGTTCCAGAAAGCAGCACACATTCCTGTGGGTGCAGGGATGTGGAGAAGGGCCTGGGGCCCTTGACGACATTCAGTTCTTCTGCTTCAGTGTCCTTAGACTGTGAAGCCCAAGTGGCAGGCCCCCTTCCCGAGCGCCCCGTGGTTCAGCTTTCCCTCCGAGGTGGTTCCAGGACTGGGGGTTTAAGGAACCTTTCTGTAAGTGGTAGACCCACGATGATAACATCGAGGCCTACGTGACAGCGTCGATCAGTCAGTCACATCCTGTGTTTTCCTCTAGGTTCACTTTCCAGACACTGAAAGAGCGGAATGGCTAAATAAGGTAAGAGAGCAGAATCGCCACATACCAGAGGCCAGCGGGGATCGGGGACGGGAGCCGTCCTCCCATATTTGGGAGCCGGGATATTGACACTGTGAACTCATTTGGACTTGGCTTCTGCTCCCGACGGAGCTCAGTCGTAAGCGAGACGTTACTTTCCTTTTCCAAGCAGTGAAGACGTCTCAGACATGAGAAAACTAATGAGGCACTCGTAGTTCTATCTTGGCCTCTGTCTTCTCTCCTGACCGTCTGCTGCCCAGATCTACTTTATAACAGTCGTAAGCAAAAATGTTGGAAACATTATTATGAAGAGGGAAATAACTCCCAAGAATCCTGGTAATAGATAATTATCTGGTTTCGTTTTTTTAAAAAACACTTCTGTTTTTAGATCTGCGTAGTTTGAAGTGGATCTGTTATCCCCTGATTTTATATATCCTTAGAGCTGTGCAGTAAAAACCAATGCAGCACTGAGAGTTAGTCATCACTGAAGAAAAATCAGTAATGTTTATTAAGATCTCTACAGTTTAAGTTTTTAGCAGTGAGTTGAATCCACAGGATTTTCTGATTGTTCTTTAAGCAATCATTAAATGTGCTGATATGCTTTAAATAGAATTCTTAACCAGAATAACTAATTCCTGCAACATAGGGTTAATCAGTGGTTTATTGTTGTCATACATTTTAAAATTTTAAATCGTGTTGATTTTTGCATAACAAAAAGGCCCTCCTTTTAATTTTCAAAAATTCTGGTAAGCTATAGTGGCATAATTTTTTTATCCTGACTTAAGTACACTGTGTATTATAACATCTTGTTTTACATGAGTTCTTTCTCCTTTTCAGACTGTCAAACACATGTGGCCTTTTATTTGCCAATTTATAGAGAAGTTGTTTCGAGAAACCATAGAGCCAGCCGTGCGGGGAGCAAACGCCCACCTTAGCACCTTCAGCTTCACGAGAGTCGACATGGGTCAGCAGGTCAGTTTCTTCTTAAGCATCCTTGTGTGCGTATAAGATTGCTGTGAAAACTGAAAAAACATGTTAAACTACTGCGTATTATTTTTTTAGAGAACACTGCTCCCTGGAGGGTCCTGGGGGGGCAGTTTGTACAGCTTCTCTGGGTTCTGTCCTCTTGTGGTGCCCTCGCCTGGTCTGTCGGGGTCCTCACCTGCCCTCACCTGTCCTCCGTGGTCTTTTAGACAGTTCAGGTTCACTGGGGGACTTCCCTTAGTTCTGACGCAGCTTTCTGCCCCACACTCTCCTGTCAGAATTGCCTTTGTACAGTTTTCAGTGATCTCATCTGTTGGAAGGGAGTTTGATATGCGAATTCAGGTTCAGTAATTGACAACAAGCAAAAGGTGTTCACCCTCAAGTTGTTTAAAACAACAAGGGCTCCAGTGCCGGCTTGTAGGCATCACCTTGACCAGCAGGTGAAGGGGCAGCTAGAGTACGTTTTTTCTTATCCTCACTCGAGGATGCGTTTTTTATATTTTTAGAGAGAAAGGGAGAGAGAGAGAGAGACATCGATCAATTGCCTCCCATATGTGCCCTGACCGGTGATCAAACCCACAACCTTTTGGTATATGGACTATGCTCCAACCAGCTGAGCCACCTCTCCAGGACAGCTATAAAGTATTTTTTAATTAAGGTACATGCACTGCTTTTTTAGACATATGTTGTTGCATACAATAGACTACAATATAGTGTCAACATAACTTTTATATGCACTGGGAAATCAAAAATTCATGTGGCTGGCTTGACTGTGACATTCACCTTACTGCTGTGGTCTGGAACCAAACCCCCAGTATCTCTGAGGAGTGTCTGTATATACAAAGGAAATCTGCTGATTCCTAGTGTTACTTCTAGCGAGAGGCTCAAGACTGCATCTAAATTAGTCAATCATGGCAAGTTTCCTTTGTGTCTTTTTAAGTCACTGTTTATTAGCAACATTTTAAGGTAACACTTTTATTGAGGTATAATTGACATTTCACATTGTATTGGCTTCAAGGTTACATTGTTTTATTATGTAACTTAATAAATATGAAGAATTCAATGGTTCTTTTGATCATACACATCCACAGAGTTTACACACATTTAGTGCACATGCAGCAGGTCCAGACGACAGTGTCACTACATTTGTGGTTCCGACATCTTTGCTTCAGCCTGTGGGGTTTGAATAAACGTGGCTGGGTGTCTGACCTGGTCGCTTGTCACTGCCCCAGACTTGTTCCCATCCCACAGATCCCCTTCCCCCATCAGAGGCGATTTTCTCTGTGCAGAGAATGCCCATCTCCTCTAAGCTACTCAGGATCTGGGGCTCCTGTGCGGAGATGTAGGATTCTAACCCTGCCGGTTTGTTCAGGAGGAACTGCGTCCATGTTGTACGGCACGAGCGCTAAGTAAATGAGATCATCCCTGGAGAACAGGGACGTTAAGAGCAGTGCTGACTCAGTAAAGGTGGTGTCGTCGCTGCACCAGCATCTTGCAGGGAGGCGAATCAGTCGTCCAATGAAAGCAGAAGGAGGACACACAGAGCCCAGCAGGGCGCTCTGTCCCCACTGGGTGTCCGCTCTGGTCCCTCAAGGCTTCGGGTGTTTGTCCTTCCTTAGATAGTGCTCAGTGGGGTTGGCCGCCTGCTTCTAGTCTCTCATCAAAGTGGAGGACATGTTATCCGAGGCAGACATTTAAACCACAGACACCAGGTCCTGTCCCCATTTTCACTTGTCCACGCAGGGCATCGACCGTGTTCTTTGGGGTTTGTCAGTCTGCACGTGTCTGCGTTGGTGTCAGGGAAAAGCCCAGGAACCTGGGGTTTAGGGAATGTGGACTCTCAGTGAAGACTTAGGCCTAATGCCAGAGCTCGCTGAGGGCTGAGATCTTGGGATACTCAGACCTCGGGACGTCCTCTTAGTAAGCAATGGTCTCGAAAGGTCAGGTAGTTCTTCAGCTTGAGTGTTCAGAGCTTGATGCAGTACTGAGAGCTCTCTTAGGAGGGATCTCAGACTGAGGAGTGGAAAAGGTTTTGAAATGATAGGATGACTGGGCCCTTGAAAGACAACATTTATTATAATCTGCCTTTTCTTTCTACAGAGTCATTTGATTCAGACCTTATATCATGTATTAGGTGTTGAAATTATAGCTACAGCTAGTATTTTTGATTCATTTAAAAGTCCCATTCTTAAATGAAAAATTACTAGACATAAAAAAATGAAAATTAGTTTCAAACAGTGTAGTCGGGATGGAGCAAAGGAAAGTACACTGGAGGAGACAGGGCTCAGGGGCTTGGAGAAGAGCAGAGCCCCATGACCGGGACCCCAAGAGCTGACAGCAGTGGCTGAGTCACCGGCTCTGTGTCCGTGCCCGCAGGGCACCGAGCACTGCCTGTTCCTCACGTCTGTGGTTTCACAATAACCTCATTGCATTTGAGGAACAGAGGTTAGAGATCCCGCTGAGAGCAAACCAGCTAGTGCGCCCTGCAAGCGGGATTGTGATTCCTGTAGCCTGGTGCTGAGCGTGTTCTCAGCTCTGTGCCGCGTGACGAGAGTTGGCTGGTTGGTTGGTTGGTTGGTTGGTGCTGTTTTAGTTTTTACTGCCCTGCATTTAAAATAAACCTCTTCTTGTTCCAGCCCCTCAGGATCAACGGTGTCAAGGTGTACACGGAAAATGTGGACAAAAGGCAAATTATTTTGGACCTTCAGATTAGGTGAGTTTTCATTTGTGTTGTCATGACGGGCAGTGTTACACAGCTGTACCCACAAGGTCAGGATACACTGAGGACAGTTCTTACCTGCTGTCTGCTGGGATTTGACCAAATTCTTGATGAAGACCCAAATTTATCTACTTTCTGTGGTATTTGACTCATGTGCTAGGACTCTCCACCCGGTGTCTATTGACCTGCCCACAGATGCTCTCAGGTGGGAGTGTCCTGCGTCTGGGGTCCAGGGTGGGGTCAGTTCATACAGATTCCACCCACAAGGTGGAACAGATGCCAGCCCTACATCCCACATCACACTCATTCATGTTTGTTCCGTATTAATGATGGAAACTACTTAGTAGAATGATGCCTCAGACAGACCCTGATTCTAGCCTTGATGTCAGAGTCCCTGAGCTCGGCTAGTTCTCTTGGGACTGGAGAGCATGTGCTCTACACTGCCTTGTTTGAAACAAACATAGCCGTTTATAAAACAAATGGAACCTGCATTCCATCAAGGCTCTGCTCCAGGCTGCACCTTGGGAAGTGACGTGTGTAATAAGACCCGAGTCTGCAGAGGCCTCATGGCTGGGCGGCTCGGAGCAGTGACATCCGCAGGCAGGGAAGCTGTGCCTGCACCTGGTGTGGCTGCTGTGCCTTATTATTCTGTTCAGGTACATGCCTTACAGGTCTGTGCTGATGAAGCGGATGTAACAGAACTTTTCTTTGCTAGTTTTGTAGGAAATTGCGAGATTGATCTGGAGATCAAGCGATACTTCTGCAGAGCCGGTGTGCAGAGCATACAGGTAAGGTTTTTTAAATTTCATCGTCTCCTAAAGTTCTCCATGCTCTATTCAGAAAGAAAATGGTGACGTTCTTATTAACTGAGAGTCTCTTTGAAGTTAAGCATTTTTCTGTGGCTCTGCTTGAGGTATCGCAGGGACGACTACGTCTCCTCACAGGGTAGCCGGCTGTGGATCTGCTGCTGTGACATGTTCCGGTTTCTGTTTGCACCTAGATCCACGGCACCATGCGGGTGATCCTGGAACCGCTGATTGGAGACGTGCCCCTAGTGGGAGCCTTGTCCCTCTTCTTCCTGAGGAAGCCGGTAAGTCAGTGTTTGTCTCCTCCCTGCCCCCAGCCCTGACACGGAGCACGAGTAAGCCAGGGCACGGAGGGGAGAGACAGCCTCCCGAGCCCCTCCTTCCCTCCGATACAGGGCCATGCCTGTGGAGGCTTCATCTCTTCCAATGGACAGCTTCTCCCAACTGTAAAAATAACTTAAAACACATAACAAAAAACTTGAGGACATAGGCTTTTTGTCCAGTGTAGGTTTATAATTAACATTCAGCACCTGTCGCTATGATGTACAGGTGCTCACTGACTCCTCATGCTCTGCAATGAAAACCAACACAGGTTCTGTTTACTGCCAGGGACTGAGAGCCTGGTCTGTCCAAGTGACAAAACCAGTAAGTCGGGGAGCCTGCCCAGCCCAGCCCGGCCTCTTCTGACAGGGCTGCAGGTCTCCCCTGGTCTCCCCGCCGCCCCTCAGACAGGCTGCTGGTCTCACCTGGTATCAGACCCGGCTGCCATCATCCCAGGCACTGCTGGCCTTTTGTGGCCTGTGTGTGAACCGCAGTTGGTACACTGGGGGTGAGAAGTCGTGAAGATTTTTTTACAGAATTATATTCTGACACTTAGATAAACCATAGTGTTATCCCTTCACATGGTTAGATGTGTATGTTGTTCCATTTTTTTGTTTTAAGTAGTCAGTACTCATCTGCCGGGAAAAGATGGCAAAAGTGCCCTTGCTCTCTAGGCCCCGCCCTCCCCGTCACGGCCCGTGGGGTGCCCCCTCCAC